AGGGCACTAGACCTCATTACAGATGGTTGTGAGCCACCATGTGGTTGCCGGGAATTGAACTCAGGACCTTTGGAAGAGCAGGCAATGCTCTTAACCACTGAGCCATCTCTCCAGCCCAGTTGTAATTTTTTTAAAGTAGGGTCTCACTCTGTAAGCATGGCTGGCTTGGAATTCCTATATAGACCGGGCTAACCTGGAAGCCGCAGAGATCTGCCTGCCTCTGCCTCCCAAGGGCTGAGACGAAAGGAGAGTATCCCCACACCCAGTTCATTAGGTTGTAATCCTTTTAAAAAAGGAAGTCGTAAGGGAGACTCAGTCATTTGTGCCATGGACACACCCAAGGTGACCCAGAAGCCAAAGTGTAAAATGCAGAGGACCAGAGCCGTTTTCTGTTTGCCCATTCTGGCAGGACCACATCCACCCAGTTTAGAAGAGTCTGAAAAGTTCAGCCGTGGTTGTAATGGACTCCAAACACCACGGGACCCAGAGGAGAGGGCAGAGCGTTCCACTCTTCCTCCAGGGACCTGAGGGAAGTGCCGGTACATTTGAAATAACCCATGTTTCGTTGCTTCAGGCGGCCCTTTTCCTGGCGCTGGGGGTGTTGTTCTCCCTGATCAGCATCCCGCTGGTTATCTATGACTGGGCTTGCTCGTCCAGCCACGACGAAGGCCACTGAGACCGGCAAAGGAAAGCCAGCACCTGCCCCCGCCCGCCCAGCCAGTCACCCATCAGCAACCCTTCGCCACTTCTTTTGCAAGTTTACAGACAGACGGAAATGCACATGACAACACCCGGGCTGTGACACAGAGACCCGCTCTGGAACGACTCGTGTCCTCCTGGGATCGTGGATTTTATCTCTCCCAGGTTTCATGCAGTCATCTTTCCCTCTCGTTACGTGTTGTGGCTCCTTCTCAGTCCCTTAGAACTCTGAAAACACCATCATCGGGTGTATTTATTTGTCAGACACCGGGTTCTGAAACCGTTTTCCTACTGACGTCACCGCTCACACTATCTGTATCTTTTTAGAAAAGAAAATAATCTTAAATTGTATATATTTATTTTGCTTTACAGAAAAAAAAGGGTTTCAGGAAAAAAAAGGTTTCATAAATACTTTGCCTATTTTGGTTAACATAGCACACAGGGGTAATCCTTTGAAAGACAGGTTGCCTGCCATTGCTGCATCTGAGCATGCCCAGTATTCGAGGCGGCTCTGGTCACCCAGCATGGGCTGTCCTGGACCTGCTGGTACTCCATCCTGCTCCCACATGGAGCTAGTCCCTGGGAGTGTCTGTGGCTGGGCAGGGGTGGGCATGGCACTTGTGGAAATATATTGAAATGTGCATTTGGGAGAGCTCACAAGGGAAGCTTTGTTTTCCCCCTTGACATCTGATGTCACAGGTAACTCTAGGCTGAATCACCTGCTTGGGGGCCCCTGGCTCCTGCAGTGATGAATGAGACTGCCCCAAAGCCTAAGGAAACACTCCTGCTGCAGATGCCATCAGTCTACACCTGTATCACTGAAGGGGCAGGGGGCATGTGTGATGTGTTCATTTATGAGCCCGGCATCATTTAGTCATGTCCACCAGCTTTTTGCAACAGAGAATAATGTGTACCTAAGGATGGCCTGTCTTAGGTCGTCCTCTTTTGTATTGGGTACTTTACTTTAGGGGAGTCTTTAAAAGACTTGTTTTATATCTATAAATCTAGGTTATTACAAATACAAGAGTTTTGTACCTTAAATAAGCCTCATTTCTATTCTCCGTTAACTCTCCATCCAATATTGAAGGTAAATCTTCTGAGATAGTCTTTGTGGAAAACTTCTGAAGTCACGGTGTCCCCTCTTGCCCGAGCTGGGGAGGACAAGAGGCCCTTCCTCATCCGTGTTTCTTCCTGTTATCCCTCTACTGCCTGTTCCATGTGACCCACGCAAGAGGGCAGAGTCTCCTATGTTCTCCCTAGCACCTCCCGAGGGGACCAGAAAAAAATGACAAGGAGACTGAAAACTACAAGAGCTTTGGACATGGCAGCTAGGGAGCCCAGAGCCGCGTGTCCTGCTGGTGGCCACCTGCGGCTGGCCATAACTGCGGCTGGTCATGGCTTATTTACAGTAGGAAGTGCACATGCTGTGAGCACAGTGTGCCCCCAGGGCTCGTTTGCAGCCAGATGTATTCTGGTTGAATTCTCAGATACAAAAATGCACTGTGCACAGATTTCTTACCTAGAAACAGGTAGGATCTAATAGAGAGTTGGCAGAGGACCCAGACGCTTAGCTGTAGACTCTTTCTGCTGACTAAAGTCCCCAAAGCTCTTCAGGAATCTCATGAGAGTCTCACAGAGATGTCCCTTTGTACAATCAGGTCCCTTAGATAAGGTAGGTGTCCAAGGTCCTGCCACCATCCTCCTGGGAAAGAAGGAAAAGCTACTTCCTGTATCACATCATCACCTTGGTACAGTGCTTCAGAGTCTGTTGGCCTTGAGCTCAGACAACTGAACTCCGGGGCCTAGATAGGAAAAGGGTAAAGCCCACAGCTGCCTCTGCCCTTTGCGGAAATGCTCTCCATGTCATGGGGAATGATAGAAAATTTGTAGCTTGTTCGGCACTGTTTAAAATGTATCGACTCAGTTTGCAAGCCATCCAGCCCTTTGTTTTCCTCCTTATTCTGTAACCATCCTTCATCCTTTTTACATTCACAAAGTGAATTCAAACACTCTCATTAACTCTGGGATGTGCTGTGATTTTGGATCTCTGGATTTCATGTGTTGGTAAAATTACTGTATTATTTACAGTATATTTATTTGCAGGAAGCACATTGTTGTTGATGTTTGTGATGTGTGTTTTATTTTAAAGCTCCTTTATGTACGGCCCCGAGTTTGTTGGACTGTAATAGACCCTACTGTCATTCTTCAGGGACCACAGATGAATTCCGTGCTTTCTGTGGTATTTCCTGTATACTGTTCTTACTCTTGTTCAGAATAATGAACTGGTAGCCAAAATATACCTGTATCACAGATGTTAGTTAGGATTCAACAGCACAATCAAATGCAATAGACATTTTCCTGCTAAATTCGTAGACCCGAGAGTAGTAGACCTTAGCTGTGGGAAGCGGTGCTTTCCATTGGCGCATAGGATCTCCATACTGTTGGCCAGGGCCAGTATCATACAATGTCCTCTGGCCGTTGTAACACAGAATACTGTTGATTCCTAGCTTAGTGTTGCTGGTTAGAAGCAGGATTAGCAGAATGTGCAGAAAGAAAACCCATCTTTTAGGCATGGACAGGCAGCCCCCAGGTCACAGGGAGAATGTAACTCCAAAGTGTTGTAACCTGGAATGGGTTTTCTGTGACTGGGTTGTATGTGATAATTTGGCCCCAGAGCAGCGGGGAAAGACTGCCAAACCTAGAGTTGGGGTGCAATGGAATAGTGCAACAGGACTGCAGAAGACAAACCCCCAGATAGAACTGGGGGAGGGGGGTGTGGATTCAGACTCACCAAGAGTAAACCATGGCCTGTTGTTGTGGAATCCAGACTTCATCTCTGCCACAGTGTCTGCTGGACACTGAGTTTGGGGTTCCTGCAACATTAGAGGAACTAAGTTCAGAAACGGGCTGGTAGGGTAGTGATAAAGGAGGAAGAGGGATTCCTTAGCTACCCACCTTTTGTTTTCTCCAAAACTACCAAACTTGGCCTGGCTGCTTCCGGTTCTGTGGCCTTTCCCTCCTAGAGTTTGCCTCCTTCTTGGCCACTAACACCACATCTCCTTGCAGGAGAGCCATCTTTGAGAGCAGCACACGACACTTTTAATATCTTCTGTCTCAACCATGATTTAGCTGCTCGGTAATCAGACACAAAATGGGTCAACATCTACTTTCTTTCTTGTATGTTTATGGACCATATTGAGAAGTGTAAGAGCACCATTGGGGTGGGTTGCAGATGACCAAGGTCTGCGGTAAGATGTCTCAGTGTTTCAGAGGATACCTCCAACAATTATGCCAAGAATTCTGGAGTTCAGCTCAAGCCCCCAAGCTGGTGTTTCTCAAATTGTGGCCCCCAGGCAAGCAGCATGGACCGCATCTACAGACACATCAGAATGCCAATCCTCCGTGTTGCCAGATGCCGTGGACGACGCAACCTGTTCTCTGCGAGTCTCAGGTCTAGACTCCAGGTGATGCCAGCCGCATCAATTTGGGAGCCACTCTTGAGCCAATCTCCTGTCAATCACAGCTCAGAAGATAGTTCCCGGGGTGAGGAATTAGAGCCAGGACTCAGAAAGGGAGGGAAAGAACCCCAGCCAGTGTCTCTGCAAATGAAGGAGACATCTTGTGTGAGACCCCTACCTGTGTCCCCTCCTGCTGGAAGTGCATGAGTAAAACTCAGGGTGCCTGCACTTTAGGGGAAATGGCCTAAGGCACTAACATATTTTCTTACAGTTGTGAAGACACCGAATTGAGACTTTACAAAATGTAGGTAAATTTAAATGCCTTATTAGAATGCAACTCCACGGGTATCGCTGAGTTTCAAGGAATTGGTTCTCCAAGAGGACTGTGTTCGTGGTTGGCTAGAGAGCCAGCCTGCTAGGTGCAAGGCCCTGGTGAAGTTCAGTCCTGGCATTGGAAAAATATAAAATACCAGTACAATAAGTAGTCTAGTGAAAGGTCCGCACTGCTGTGGGAGCTGCCAGGGGCTGTGCAGGAAGAGCAGAGCCCAGCCTGTCTCTGGAGCTTGGTGTGAAATGGCATTGTTAATCGGAGTAGGGCAGAGGTGGTTAGTATCATATGCATGGTCTATGCCTTAGGGCAAAGCTTCCGTTCATTCATCAAGGGGATAGGCTTTAAGAATGACATTGCCGGGCAGTGGTGGAGCGCTCGGGAGGCAGAGGCAGGTGGATCTGTGAGCCTGGCCTACAGAGCGAGTTCCAGGACAGGTTCCAAAGCTACACAGAGAAACCCTGTCTCGAAAAATCAAGAGAAACAACAAGGAATAGCATTGCCTGTTCAGAGGAACATCTGGGCACTCAGAAAAAGAAGTCACACTGCCACCTCGCAATTTAATCAGTTTTTTCCTCTCAGGAGGGCAGATCCGAGAATCCTGCAATGGGACATGCTTCTCTAAAATGCAGTGGGTTACTGATAATAATCAAAGACTTTGGGGTTGTGGGTAATAACTGAAAATAATGCTAAACCTAAAGGGGTGGGTTCTTGAAGAATAATGCAAAATTGACATGGATGCAGATGTCTTTCTTAGGGGTCCCCTGAGGAAGAACCATAAAGCACTGGGCCTGTCTGTACAGGCTTGAAGAATCTATGCAGCTGAGGCTCACTTTAGGAATCCTTCCTTTGTATGTAAATATGTTGTAAATACATAGGAGGCTGTATATTTTTGCAGTTGTTGATCCACATGGAAATAGAGGTCACTAGTCCCTGCACATAAGAAATATACATTCTCATAGATGTTAGTGGTTTTGTTTTGGAATTAGAAGAATTTTACCTTCTCTCCCATAGTTCTGTCAATGTAAACCTGGAGCCTAAACCTTAATTGTTTGGAAAAAGAAGTGCTGAGAAATAACTGCTTTGATTTCATATGCTGCTGTTAAGATCTGTTATTTAGATGATACAAATAAGGACAACTTAGAAGAAAATCATTGTCATATAGAAACAGACTTGCCCAAAATGAGAAGTTGTTTCTTCATAATGTTCTTTCATGGTTAACATTGATGCTACTGCATAGGATTTAAGAAAACAGAAGTTAGGGAGGGTTTTTTGTTTTTTCTTCTTCCAAAATGGAATTATCTTTTCCCAGACTTTGGGATCCTTGAGGGGAGGGCTGAATATTCTTATGAGCACAGATTTGAAGGAAAACATCCTGTTATTTAGGGTTTTGAAGGTCTTGCATGTTTGCCTTTAAGTGTTGATGCCAACATAGACTGTCTTGTCTGCCCCCCCCCATCACTTGAAACTTAACCATTGGTACGTAATACAGTCTCTAGAGTCCAATGTGTCTTAGACTCTCTCTGACTCAGTACATGTAGCAAACCACTGTTTTATTAATGTAAAATCTTGTAAATGATTTCCGGTGGGCATCCAAAGTGAGCCACAAGTCACAAAACTTTGCTGACAACTGTCCATCTTGGGAAGTTGGGTTTGTTTGTTTGTTTGTTTTTTCAGGGTGTGGTATAAATAAGAAAGTGTGGGAAGCTATGTTCTATAAAGGCAGTGTTAACATAGTTTTCAAACATTAAAATGTGAATTAAAAGTACCTGTGCGTCTTGTGTGATTCTCCAGGCAGCCATGATGAAAGGGCAGCAGTGCTATGCACGCTGGTGAGTTCCTGGAGGAGGGCTTGACCACACAGTGTGGTTCTAGATCATGTGTGTGCTGGTGACTTCCTGGAGAAGGGCTTGATCACACATCTTGGTTCTAGATCATGTGTGTGCTGGTGAGTTCCTGGAGGAGGGCTTGATCACATGCCATGGTTCTAGATCTTCAAGAACCTAGACTTTAGGTGGGCCTGATGGTAGATGCCTATGCTCTAGCAACTTGGGAGGCTGAGACAAGAATATGGAAAATGGACCAGCTTGGGCTATATAGCAAGGTCTTGTCTTTAAAAAAATGTTTTTTGTTGTTTGTTTTATTTTGTTTTTAGTGGTATCATCTGGTCTGGCTCATGCATGTGTCCCCACTCTTTGGAATCAGTAGACTGGACACAGTGTTTCCAACTTCTGTTGTATTGCAGTAACCTCTCACACTGCAGCCACCCTGAGATCAGGAATCCTGTCCACACATACACTTTACCTTGGGAGAAATCTAGCCTTTGAGCTTTCCCATCACTTGCTCTTCTTACCTTAAGAAGATTTTGATAGGCAAGAAGGCCAGGGTCAGATACACAAATTCCTTGTGTGAACAGTTACTGCAAGGATAGCCTGGGGTTTTTGCTTTTTTTCCCCCCATTACTGGACAACAGCCCATCTTACAGAGCCACAATGGCGCATACAGATCTCTAGAGAGAAGTAGGAACACAGGTATCCAAGCTAGGAACCCCAACCTAGCTTCGTTAGGCATAAAGCTGATACCATTAAAGTTACATGTCTTTTGTGTCATGTGTGTGTGTGTGTGTGTGTCTTTTTGAGATAGAGTCCTGGCTGGCCTGGAACTCACTATGTAGACTGTGCTGGCCTGGAACTCACAGAGATTTGGCTGTCTCTGCCTCTTGAGTGTTGAGATTTAAAGGCGTGCACCACCACACCTCCACAAACTTCTTAAGTGATAGAAGTCACAAGGGCAAACACTGTAACAATGACTTTTCACTGTTGTTGCTATGAGCCTTTTGATGGCTCTGACGCCTGCCACTGTCACTGTGTGTGTGTGTGTGTGTGTGTGTGTGTGTGTGTGTGTGTGCTGTTCTCTCTGTCCCCTGTAACATCTTTGTTGGGCTAGGCTTGGTCTGCCCCAACCCTGGAGAATAAACGAGGCCTTGTGAAAACTACACACACCTTGGGTCATGTTTGCTTGCACACTACAGACGTGAAATTGCTCTAATTAGTCCAGAGAGATAGATGGGGCCCAAATAATTGAGCCTTTAAAAAAAAAAAGAAACCTCTGGTTACTGTGAATTTTAGCCTAATTCAAGTTGGATTATGATCCCTGCTTTGCTAGAGTTAACACAGTATCAAAATGACCAGATTGTCAATTCATCTTAAAGCTGCAGCAGTAAAACCAAATTAGTATTGGCATAAAAATAATTGCCACCGTGGGTAGCACAAATGGGACCAGAACAGTGGTCTCTAGAACCTATGGAGAAGATAGAAGTTACTCGTTAAATACTGGGGGAGGGGTAGTCTTTGAGGAACGTAAACCAAGATCACCATTACCTTATGTCTAAAGAGAACTCAAAGACCTTTAAACAACTCATAGGTGCACATACGCACACAAACAAAACACAAATGAGCAACTTGTGTACTTGAGACATGACTTAAAATCGTGTTAATTAGCTAGCTTGCATTTATTTATTTATTTAAGACAGAGACTGCATAGCCCAAGCTGGCCTGTAATTGACTATGTAGACCAGGCTGACCTCAGACTTATGGGCAATCCTCTTACGTCAGCCTCCTGAGTGCTGGGATTAGGGCCATGAGCCACTATACCCAACTTTAGCTCGTTTAATAACTGAGGAACAAGATGTTTTAAAATGATTTACAACGTGAGGCATGGAAGTACACTCGAGAGAATGTGGGAGGAGGAGAGCAGTCTAGACTACACGGAGCGTTTGAGCCCAGCCCTAAACTATGTAATAAGAAATTGAAGCATTAAAAAAAAAAAGCAAGGCTCTGGATTCAGTATTTGAGCAGAAAGCCTAGGTGGGAGGTTCAAAGAATTCAAGACCAGACATGGAAGTAATCAGTGTAAAACTGCCCTTCTCAAGCAAGACAAGCCTATTAGTATCTCAACCGGAATTCACCTTTTCTCTCTGGACAATAAAAGTTTCTGTTTCTTATCAGTTTGCTACAATTTACAGGATCGTAAAATAGCTTAAAGAAAAACAAATTAAAAGTGGGGCTCAAAAACAGCACTTAGGATCTAGGGAATGACATAACACAGAAGAGAAATACCTTCGTTCACTGGAAGTTCACCAAATAATCTTCTTCACCTCTTTTAAAGTCAATTTTTTTGACTTCCCTTTTGGTTGCAATAAAAAGTCCCATAGATTATTCTTGGTAATTCAGCTATTCTCAAGAGGGTTGGCCTGTTTGCCTGCATAGGTGTGTCTCTGTGTAAAGTGATCATAAAGGCTTCCTTTGCAATCTAGAACTGTGCAGTGTTGACTAGCTACGGGGCAATAGAACACACCTTTAAAGGTTTATTGTTTCCTAGTTCCAAGCTTGGAAAGGCAACCTAAGGAATGAATACATTCCCCTGTACTGTCTATATATCTGTGAGAATACCTTTCTACTTCAATTTTCCTCTCAATGAGGTTCCTGGTCTATGAGGAAGTACACTTTATAGTCTATCCGAGATTAGTGCCCTTTGGAACTAGGGTGCAGGTTACAGGTCAGAAGATTGGTTCTAGGCCAGTTTTGTTTTTTGTTGTTTTGGGTTTGTTGTTGTTGTTGTTGTGTGGTTTTGTTTTGTTTTGCTTTTGTTTTGGAGTGGGGACTTTGCAGGCACTCACTCCTTGACATATCTGTCAAATGACAGCATTCTCCAGCGTGGTCTTCTAAGGCAGGCCAAGGTTACACAATTTAGTTTTCAGATCATCCAGAAAAGAACTTTCAGATGAACCAATACACATGATTGCATTGCTTGACAAAAGGAGAGGGATTTGGTCACACTGTTCAGTAGGTGCCAGGGAGATTTAACTCTGTTTTGTTGAGCAGATTCTACTGCGCTGTTATAAAGACAGCTTGAGATGGAAGAGCTATGGCTTCCTTATATAGACATGAAATGGAGTGTTAAAACCCATCAGCTTGAGGAAGCTTTTCTCCTTGGGTCATCCCGCCCTTGGGGTTTCTGTTCTGCTCAGTCTTGGGTTGGCACTTGGCATCTATAAAGCTGTTGCTTCTAGATTGAAAACAGTCCTGAACACTCACCCTCTCCTGGTACAGCATGAAATATGTCCAGGGAATGTCAGCTCAGAAGTCTGTGCCCAAGTGTGTCTCCTCTTGGAAGTGTCAATAGCTTAAGGTCCTTGGCACGCAATCTCTCTCTGTGAGACTCTGGGGAAGGAAGGCCTTGCTGGAGATCCCAGTGTTAGCTTGTGGTTTGTGACAGTCTTGGCCAAGTTTCAGGAGCAGAAATCAGTTTGTTAAAAAGACTAGACCCTGATGGCTGCAGCTGATACACTGTGATAGCTCTGGCTGTCGTTTTACCCACACCATAGGTCTTCCTAAAATAAACTCACAGGGCTGTGTAGCGATCCACTGACAGGTCTCCCAGGAACTGCCAGCATCCCATTTTATGTCTTCAAGGCTTTTCTTTTTTCTTCTTCTCCTCCTCCTACTTTTCCTCCTTCTCCTTGCTTTGCTCCTCTTCTTCCTCTTCTTACTCTTCTTCCTTTTCTTTCTTCTTTTTTCTGAGACAGATTTTCTCTGAGAATTTCCTGAGAAAGCCCTGGCTGTCCTGGAATTTTCTCTGCAGACTAGGCTGTCTTTGAACTCAAAGATCATGGATCCTGCCTCTGCCTCCCGAGTGCTGGAACTAAAGGCATGTGCCAATATACCCAGCATTCTTCAAAACTTTTCTACAAAGTGTATATCTCCATCTCGTGTCATATAGTAAGGAAAGCTCTCTCAGTTCAAAACATAGAAGCCACACACACACACACACACACACACACACACACACCTATTACCAAAGAAGGAAAAAAATACCCAAAGCTCAAAATAAAGAGAAAAGGTAATATTAGACCAGGACATACTGTTTACTATTGAATAACCTGTCCTTCTGTCAACATGAACTTTCTTTTCTTGGTAGAAATGAAAGTGCCTTCTACTCAGTAGAAAAATAACCTCAAAGGTCATCTATTTAAATGGCCACCTTAGTCTATTATCCCCTAAAAAATACACAGTGAGTTAAAGACGAAAACAAAAACATACAAGAAAGTACATTAGGGGAAAAAGGAGAAACAGAAGGTGAAAATGATAGAAAGGAGGAAAGCCAGAGTGTGGTGCACAGGAGCTGGAGGGTCAGAGGTCAAGCCCATCCTTCACTGCACAGCGAGCATGTGGCCAACCACAGCTAGAGACTCTGCCTCCAGAAAGCAAAAGTGTACGTCTTAAAGCCTTGTGCAGCATAGGCGGACACATCTGTGAATAGACCAGGCTCCCAAGTGCTAGCTGGGAACTTTTGACTTAAATTTGGCCTTCTGGAACAGCTTAGCCCTTGCCAGTGGGCATGAGAGAAGCTGCCCTGTCTTTGGAAAGTCTGGCTCTTCTGGAAGGCTTAGAAGCAGGGTTCTCTCCTGAGTGAGGGACGGTTAGAGAGTGCTGTAGGTAGATTGGGGAAACAAGAGCAGCCTATCACAACTTTTGTTCCCAGATGACAATTTCAGGAGAGACAGGGGGAAGGCACAGCAGCTGGTACCTAAACAGGACCAAAAAGAAAAAGAGGGAGGACCCAAGGACCCAGTAAAACACCTGACACAGACTCACAGCTTAGGGACTCCCATCCCACACGGGACTGTTTGCTGTGTCGATGAAGCGGTTATTCTCACTTTCTCCACATTTGACTGGATCTTCTGTCTTTCCCCGATGTTGGATTCTT